CTTAAATATGCAACTATTATAACACTGGGGTTTTTTTATGCTAAATGTGAAATTTGAGAAAGAAATTTGAACAATATATATTACAGTACTAATTAATACTGGCTTTTATTTAAATATTTAACTAGATTTTGGGCAAAATACAGGAAAAGGTTATAGTAATTTAACTGCTGTCACAGTATAATTAAAAAACAGATTTGCACTTGAGCTCTGCAGTGGCCTTGGTAGTGTTTGAAAATGGAAAAAAAAATCCTTTAATGAACAAAGTACAAAACAGTGGTTATAAAGTCCATTATTGTTAAATGTTGATGCTTGAAGGGCTTCTTCTTTGTGAATGTGAGTGTGGCTAATTGCACAAAAAATGCTGAAATCCCTCAGATAGTTGGTGTGCTGTGAGGAGGTCTTGCTAGTAATACAAATAGGGGGTTTTAAACAGTAATTTTTAAATGTTAATAAAAAAGTAGATTATTTCAGTTTTGGTAAATTTCACCCTGCATGAATTCAATTCTTTACTGTTTTAGAATAGTTTTAGTTTTAAAAATAATCTTAAAGCTAGTAACATGATAAAATTATATCAGCTTTTTGATGGGGATTTTTTATCTTCCAAATGCATTTGAAAATTAAATATTCCTTATTGTTGTGAGCAAAACCTTCAAGGCTTGGTATTTAAAGGATTATTTCAAATGGCAAAAGAATATCAACCTTGTAAAGTCCTATTCCTTCTAAATAGTATTTGAAATTTAACTCTTATTTATGATGGATAATGCACCAGTCTAAATGAATAAGCCAGTTACACTCTATCAGGGAAAAGGAGTTTTAAACATGTAAAGTGGCATTTTAGCCAAGCCATAGATTCTCCTGTGATACAAATCTGTTAGGATGCAGCGTTATTTCTCATTTCTTATAAAGGTGATTTGTGTCTAAGTTGGTTTTTTTTTCCTTTAGAACATCAATTTTAAGTTTTATCCATCCGTTGCATATAATGCAGTCACATAATTTTCCTGCTTTTCAATAAAAACTGAGAGTAGTTACTGAGTCCACATTAGAGCCAAATTACAGTAATACATATGGTTTTATGTATTATAGCTCTGCCACATGAAAGATGTCTTTTCCTCCGAAGACTTTTATAAATTCTTGGATTGTTCCTAAGCATTTGTCTGTGTCACACTCCACCTAAATCCCATTTGCCCATTCAATATTTTTCTTGCTTGAGTGCTTTGCTCTGTTCTCTGAGGTCTTCTGGAATTGCTGTTTTTATCTCTTGGCATTGTCTGGTTGCTAATTGCCTGTCATGGAGATCTGGGATCCCTGGAGCCTCCTGGGTGGGGTCAGGGTGGAAAACTCAATCTCAGGGGAGCTTTGGGTGTCCCAGCCTGGGATCTCAGCTCACTGACGTGTTCTGACAACCTCCCCCAGCCCAGCTCCAGGGTCTGGATCTGCTCAGCTTCAGTGCTTTGTGTCTAATGCATGAGAGATTCACCATTTCACTCAAACACTTCGGCTCAATTCAAAGTTAGGTATCTATGGAACTCAGCAAAATCTGAAAGTGTCACACAGCTCAGTTACTGTGGTTTCATTCATCCTTCAGCAGCTCAGTATTTCTCTGTGACAACGTTTTTTGGTCAGAGGCAGTCAAATCACTAGGTGGGTTTAGATGAACTCTGAGCCTAGTGCTGTATTCCTTCAAAAGGCAGAGTAAATGCAGGTATGAAAAGTCCACGTATTCTTAAAATTGCCTCTTAAATCTGAGTTGGTGTTGTCTGACCTTTTACCACCAGTACACTGCACCACTACATGCATAACAACCGATTTGTAATCTCGAGGAAAAGATTTTCCAGAAAGGTTATGAGTGCTGACAAATAGAGGTGGAATTTAAATCAGAATCAAGGCTCCTGCAGCCCAAGACCATTTTTAAAAATTCACCTGTAATCCTGGAGCAGGTGAGGTGTGTCTCAGGTAGCTGACCTGTGCTCCGTGTGCCCCAGTGCCCTGTTCAGAATGCAGCAATGGAGAGATGGGAGCAGTGTCACAATGTTCCTCTGGGAAATGTAGGTTCTACCTGTTCTGAAATATGGGAGTTTTTTCCCTTTTTTTTTTTTTTTCAAGTTGAAATTTTACCTTCTCTGCATATGGGTAATTTTATCCAAGTAAGATGTTTTTCTCAACAAATGTTATGGATGTCTGTTCGGCCCTTTGAGGAGCTGCATGCACAGCCTGCACACACTGAGTGTGTGAGTTGGCTGCTAGTCCACATCACAGGGAGTTTGTTTTGTCTTCACAAGCATAAAAACATGTGCTGAACACCTTGTCTTTCTGTAATACTTTACTTAAACTTTTCCCAAAAGTTATCACTTTGTCTTGGAAGGAAGACATTTAGATTTAAACTCTCAAATTTCTCGTCTTGACTGAACCGCTCACCAGGGTGCTGTACAGATGCAGAGAAATAGGATTTCCATCTTTACACACAGAGAAATAAATAGAGAGGCAGAGGGTCTTAAAACCTAATTTCAAGATAACTAGCAGTTCTTTTCCTTTTGAGAAGAAATTCTCATATTTCAATGCAGATGTGAATGTGTTGGGTGACAGATACCAGGAGACACGAGCTCTGTGACAAAGGAGCATTAAACATGTGAGTCTCACCCCAGAGGCTGTGAGGAATCGGTTCATGGGCCACAGAAGCAGGGTGTATCACTAATGAATATGTTCCCTATTTACTGATAGTCCTGCTAAGTGTGTGTCTTCTGAGCATTGAGAGGTTTCCCTTGCTGTGATCCTGCACATCGATCACACAGACTAAATGTGGTTCTTGGCAGTGGCATGACTGGACCTGTGGAAATATGATTAAAATGGTCATTATGCTTTTTCAACAAAAATCAATCTATGAGAGTAGCAGGCTTTTTAAAAAAAACAATACCCACCAAGGAATCCCTTCAATCAGGAGGTTTTGAGAGTAGCACACTGTGGGTTTATTTGCTTATTTTAGTGTATTTGGCAGAAAAATCAATATCATAGTATAACTCCAATAAAGATCGCACAATATATAGTGCTTCCCGTAGAAGAAGGAGATGATTGTCAAGTTGAGCTCCTTTCTCCTCATCATGTTAGTATCTGCCAACCTTCTGTTTAATAAAGCTAACTGTAAAATACTTAATCATGCAGACAGCGCTGTATTTAACCATTTGAAGTTTATTCCTCTTCAAAATGCACCACCCTTTCTGTTTGAGCAACAACCTTTTGTCAATTAAACAGGGATATCAGGACAAGTCTTCTCAGCAGTCAAAACCAGAAAGGTTTTAGGATCTTTCACAGGTGGTCAGAGAAACAGAACATAAATATGTATGTATACATATTTATACATATTTACCCTGATATGTATATATGCTGGTCATGAACTCCTACACACAGAAGAATCCCTTTGGGAGGATTGTACACCCCGGTGTCTGTCAGTACTGGAGACATTGCTGAAGTTTTGCCAAAATCACAAAGTTCTCCAAATTTAGCGAATGCTTCGAGAAACCTTAACTGGGGCTTTATGGTTCCTAAGGTTTTTAGTAGACTTTAGAGTGTGTGTGGGTTTTCCTGTACTTTCACTCATAAAAATGACAATGTTCATTGATACAGACTACATCACAAAGGGTGAGTTTCCCATGGTTGTCAAAGATGTACATAGCCAGGATGCTCAATGTTAGCAGATCAAACTCAGTCTTTAGAGGGATTCATAAAGATTGTGTTTGCTCTGTTTGTGCTTTATTGTTGTAAAATAAGAAAATTGCTGCAAATGTCTGTTTAGACCAAAAATTAGATGCAGCGAATCATTGGAAAGCAGTTGGTGAAACTATACAACCATACTATATATGGACGTAATACATTTGCTATAGTTGCACATATATATTTTTTTAATAAAAATCAGAAACTACAGTGTAATCTTTGTATCTTTAGTCAAGATACTTTACCCACATAGTACAAAAAGTCTCTACCTCACCAAATCCAAAGTTTATGCTGTCCAAAGGGCAGTAACAGATAAAAGTCAGGAGCTTGCATCTATTTTTTCATGAAATGCAGATATTTTACTTGCATGTGACTAGATATGTAATTTTATTTCTTTAAGTGTAAAATTTAAGGGATCAGATGTCAGAAAATGTAATCACTGAATTTTAAATTGCAACTTTAATTCTTTTAAGCAGAGGAGACAGATGTAGCTGTCTTGCTGTATCCACATATATTGCAAAATACATTTAAATCATGCGCATACAGGGAGACAAATGAGAGAACTCCGCCATCCAAATATTAAATTACACGTTTTGAAGCAAAATAGTGTTTTAAGTGTACATGTGTATAATGCTTTTTGTCACTGGATTGCTCTTCCTGATGCAGTTAGACAGAATCTGTATTTAGTCAGAAATCTTTCAATAGAAAGGGCTACCAGATGGGACCAGTAACAATGCAGAGAGGCATCGAACCACCACAGACATTTGGTGCTTAGAATAATAAAAAGACTATAAAATTAGATTAGTTGAGTCTAATTTGGAATTGGTATATTCCCTATGCACTCTCACAGCTCTTGGGTAGATAAAGCCTGAAGATTTAGTACTGTCAGGACAGAGGACTCCAACTTCCAGTAAAAGAAAAAACGGCATTCTGGGAGGTCACGGAGGGCAGCCCAGTGACCTCCAATGATTTACAGGCCTTTAGCTTAATGAAATTGTTTCAGTGACATGACGGTAAAAGCTCATAATGGATTGGATGCCCTAATGTAATGAAATTACTCCCTTCTGCCTTTAAAAAAAAGGTTAAAAAAAAAAAAAAAGGCGCAATTAATATTTACTGAGACCTGACAGGCTTCAGTGTGCGGGAGCGTGCATTGCTGTCAGACAGCCGCGAGCAGCCCGAGCAGCGTGGCAGCTGAGCAGGCGCTGCCAGGGGGTGGAGGGACACCTCGCTGACGGGGAAGCCCCAACCTGGCGCTCCGAGCCAGCCTTCACCCTCTCCCTTCCTTTCTGCAGGCAACTGGACAACAACCAGATCAGCTGCATCGAAGATGGAGCCTTCCGAGCCCTGCGCGACCTGGAGATCCTGTGAGTGACTTGGTGCCGTGCCGGGGCGGTGGGGGGGTGGCTGTCCCCGCGCTGCAGTGCTGGCGGCTCTGGGGGCTGCCCAGCCCGGCAGGTGCAATCTCACACTTCCCCCGGGCTGCCGGCTTCGCTCATTAAACCACAATAGGCTCCGGGAGCGCTGCCGCTCGTGGGGAGCGCGGAGCCCGCCGTGCTCGCTGCTGTGTGCAGCACACGGGGCTCGGCGGCTTTCCGAGCGTGTCCGCCGTGCGATCCGCAGCCGGAATCCTGCCCGGTGCCGAGCACTGCATGGCTAACAGGTTCATGGGGAGCAATATCGCCTGATACGTGACCGCTGCCCTAGACAAAAGCTGTTTCAAAGGTGTTTGGTATGTGAGAGGGAGGAGAGACGGGCGCTTGGCAGGCTTGTTCAGTGCAGTCATTGGCTTTTGGGGAGGATCCTTCTCTGAGGGCTGAAATAACACCACGTTGTGCTCTTCATGTACCACAAACTTTACACATAGGCTGTTAAAGCTGCAGCACAGACTGAAAAAAAGGTTTTGACAGTGAAAGCTGACTCTACCAGAGAAGCAGCACATTAGATTTAGAGCGCTGTCATTGTAATGTAAATCCAGTATTACCCTGAACTTGGTATCTGAGCAGGTAATTTGCTCATTACTAATAGTAACTTATTCACTTAAAGACCTTTTCCAGAATAGGTTTTCACAATATGAGCTGCTATAAAGCTTTCCCTGTCACCCGAAAGTTAATCCTGCAAAGCTGAGTGTCAGTACTCGTGAAAGCACAGAATTCTGAGCCGAAATGGAGGAGGGTGGGAAGGACAGGCGACCTCTCCAAAATTCAAACAACCCTCGTCATCCACCGTGAGTTAATGGGAGAGCAGCCCTGACCCAGTGCACACCTTACTTCAGCAGGGAAGGCCTGCCCAGGCTGCTGCAGAGCTTGCCCTTAAATTACATGGGATGAAACAGCAAGTGGTAGGTGGATAAAATAAGCACCTGCCTCAGCCTGCTGGCACCTGGAGACTGAGCAGAGTCACGCCCTGGGCTCCTGAGAGGAGGCAGAGCAGTGGGGTGGCACAGGCAGCCCAGTGCCACTCAGCACACGGGTCTGAACCCCTCTCATCATGCCCAGGCTTCTTCCCAAGGGCTGGGTCCAGCTCGTACCGATGCTCGAAGCAGTTCTGCCCTCCGTGTCAGCACAAGCTGAGGGACCTGGTGGTGGCCGTGTCTGTCACGGACCCTCTGGCCCCCTGTCCCCCAGGCTGGGACCCTGATGTTGGTCAGATAGAATGTATTGCTAATATTGAGCCAGCAGAAGGTTTCTGCACAGTTTCTTATCTGGGAACTTACGTTATCAAGAGTACTGTTTGAATTCTGTAGTGATAGCACTTTTCAGGAAAAGTAATGTGTTACCACTATAAAATTTTACTTGTCTGTCAGATTGAAAAGTCTACTGTGTGGTGAAAGAAAAGAAGAAAGGGAAAAGAAACAAACTCCTCTAAAACTGGCTTTTTTTTTTTTTTTTTTTTTTGATGGGCTGATTTTCTGTATCTGCAGAGAGTGAATCAGTCCTCCACTGACAGCAGACTGTGCTATAGCATTCACTAAATAGGCTGTACAATAAATGGAGCCCTTTTTTGTAATATACTGAGTTCTGCACACTCTGCAGAAGTTGCTAGGAATGCATTCCTTCTCCCCAGGATGTAGTAAATGCTCAATTAGTTTATTTACCTCTCTGTTTTTAATTGGTTACTTCTGTGCCATTTATTTGTGGATGGGAGAAGATTAGATGAGGATGTATGAAATAGATCATAATCACTTCTTCAGTGCATTTTTAATTTTCAGCACAGACACACTGCTACAGGAACAAAATCAATATTAATTCTAAAAGATGAGAAAACAGATTGATAGTATCTATTTCTAAACTTTTTTTCTTGCAGTCACAAAATACACGTTTTCTACTTCCAACATAATCTGATTTTTTCCCCATGTTTTTCTTCAAAGAAAGTCTGAGAATTTAATCTATCAAAATTAATTTGCTAAGTGCCCCAGAGATTATAGTATCTTTAGTGGTAAAACAGTCATAAATGTTAAAATTTGAAGCTATCTGAACCATCAAAGAACATTAAATTTCAGCATTTCAGACCCACTGTGTATTTTATGCAGATGTATTTTAACATATAATGCAGTATGTAGAAAATAATCAATGATTCTTGCAAAAAAAATTCTAATTATCTGTTTGAACAGTTTGCTAGAGTGCCAAATAATTTATTTCTTCTTTATCTTACTGAAATCTTGTGACCTTTCTGATACTCATTGTTTCCAGTCCTGCACTTTTCTCCTCACACACGACCTGTCTACAAAATTCTAAATTTTGTCTATAAATCGGGGCAGGGCTTTGCTCAAAAAATGAACTAAGAATACTTTCATTAGAAACACTTTGGTTTCTGGGTTGGTAGCACGTTTCATTCACCTTGAGCTCCTCAAAAGCCATGACTGCAAGGAGCTTGGTGGTTCAGTACCTGTAGGAAGAGAAGAGTTTTTGTGCAGTTATCCTTCAAAATGCAGAATGCGTGACTTATTTCTTCTTATCAACAAGTTGTTTTCATTTACTGTTCTCATTTTCTTGTTTTGTGTTATAAATATGTTCCCATACCAGCTAATAGCATAGAGGCAGAGATGAAAGCAAGACTGAAATTTGTGCCTAATTTGAGAGCCTGGCGTGGTGCAGGGAGTTGTGAAGTTCAGCTGCAGCTTGGAGCAGCCCAGGGTGTGGAATGTGGCTCCCAACACAAGCGTGCTCTTGGTCACTTGTGTGTTCAGGAGCCTCTGTGTTCCAATGCCACAAAAACTGTCACTGATTTTATGGCCTGACACACGTAGACCCTAAAGCAGGTGCCAAGTTCTACTGCTGACTCTGAGGTTTGGGTTAAAAGATGCAAAAATGTTGAGTATAAAATGCTTTGATGCCTTCTCTTGATTGTCTTTGCCTGTGCAGCAAGTTGAAAATAATGTCTGAGAAATGACCTGCAGAATGGATGGACTTAAACATCTTGTCCTGGTAGTTCTGCATTGGGGCTGGTTTTGTTCATGCTTGGCTCAGATTTTCTGAACAGATTCCCATGAAGGGTTTGGTTTCTATCTGTTGATAAAATAGGAATTTTTTCTTGCTGACATAATTCCTGTGTCCTCCTTTCTATAAGATGATAAAACGTATTTCAGTGGGTTTGGTCTTGCATTCCAAGACTTAGAAAAGTGTATGCAATAATTGAAACAGCAATAAAATGCAAAGTGAGCATGTATTCATAAATGAGTGGAAAAGGTTATTAACTGTCTTATGACTTGTTGGCATAGAAATGTGCAGAAAAGCTGAAGAAAATTGGTGAGAAACCTTTGCTAATTGAAGATTTTTTAGCAGGAGAAGGTCTCTGCTCTGCTTCATTTTTACTTACGTCCTGTGGCAATATCTGGCAATAACAGTATTATTGAGAAATATCTATTACTGTAGCTGTAAGTATGATTAAAGGTTATTAAAAAAACCTCAAAACCAAACTAAAAACCCAGTTTAGTTTTCAAAATAATCAGCCACTATTCCTTATTGTGTGACAATATGCTATTCATATGCTTTGTAGGTTAGAAATTAGTCCATGGTTTTATTTCCAAATGCCCAAAACTATGAAGGATATGAGATAAAACATGTCTAGGGTTCAGAGTTTCACCCCCAGTCTCTCAGGACACATGAATAAAAGAAATTAATTTCAAGATGGTTCAACAGGCTCAAACTGGATAAACTGGTAATATTGAGTGCCTGAGCATACTATTATCATTAGGCTGGGAGGGCTGAACCATTTTTCTCAGTAAGAAACAGAACTCAGTTTAGCAGAAAGCCCATTAATTTATTTGTCATTGTTTTCTCTCTCTGGGATAACTGGAAAACTGTGCGGTGGCATGGGAGCTGTACTGTGTGGACAGCACAGAAAGAATTATGAGTCACTGTTGACAACTTAGGTGGAGTATTTTCCTTTTTTTTATATTGTAAAAGCTGTTTTTCTCTTGCTTTATAATGATAGCCAGAGGGTCCAGAGCTTGAACACATTCTATTTGTTTCATAAGATTTTATCATACCAAGAGCTCATCCTAGGAGGTCGGTGGGTAGTATTCTGTTAAAGAGGGCAAGCGGGTTCTTGCTGTACAGAATGATTTGGGGGTTTGTTTGTTGTTAGCCACATTAATTGTGTGTCTTTCATATCATATGGCTGAGGCTGAAAATCCTCCCTCGTGAGTTTCACTTCTTTTGGAATCAATGAGCTCTGGCTGCCGCTGAGCCCGTGGCCGCACGCGCTCGGGGATCCACCCGTCCACTTTGGGTGCCTTAGTGTGAAACATCGTGCCAATTCATCCTAAAGTAATAATGAAGAAGTGCAAGTATAGTCATCCAAATATTTGTGACTTCAGTTCCAAATGAGTCCTAAATACATTATATTAAAAAGATGATTTCTTCTGATTGCATAGCGTAAAGAAAAGTGTAATAAAGGTAAAGAAAATGCATCACTTTTCCTTTCCCAAAATCTTAAAATTAAAGTAACGAGAGAAATTTAAATTGTTCTGCCAGTGTTTGTATGCAGAACCTTTTCTGTCCAAGTATTTCTGCCACACTCTTTTTCCTGCTCCATGACAAACCCACAAAACCACAGATCTGTAAGGGCTGTGCTGGTGTTTTTGAGCTCCGATTCGGCCCCGAGCTGTGTCCAGTGGGACACAGCTGGTCTGTCACACCAGCCTGGCCTGCAGTTCTGTGCATTGTCTGCCACATCCAGGCATTGCAAGCATTTATTCCTGCTGTCCTTGTTTGCATTCAATATGTTCCTGTTGTAAACGATTTTTTCATAAAAGATTTAGTCTGTACAATTTCAAATAGAGATGTTGTGGATGAGTGTGCTTATAATGCACACTGCCTTTTGTCATAGCAAACTTCTGAGAACTTTTCTGAACATGAATCAA